TGCATTTATCTCCGATTTTTTTTCCGTAGAACTAATAATTAGGATCAAAATTTGGATTAATTTGAAGTAACAATTGTGCAAGTTAAGCCGGTTATTGTTCCTAGTTTCAAAGAAACTGGCGGAATAATTGCGCTCGGGTGGTTGTTTTTCTCTAGACAAATTTTGACTTTTTGATTAGCCAATTTTGGCGGATTTTTTTTTGTTCATCCAAAAAGTATTGTTGTTCTGAGCTAAAAATTGAAAACATAATTCACCTGTGATCATTTTTTGCAAAGTAATGGGGGTTTAAAATGCGTGTATTTAACCAAAATTTTGAAAACAAAAATACCGAAAAAAATTTTGTTCCGAATTTTGAAAGAAAGATGGTGTGGTTATTTTATATGAGACAAGTTGCGACTTTTTAACTAATCTTTTTGAATAGTTCAATTCGAGCTGCCCGAAAAATATTGATGTCATGAGCTCAACTTTAACATCATATTTCACCTTAATAATAATCTTTAACCTTATATTTCAACATTTATTTTCCGATATTTTATTTCAGATTAGTTTTTTAAGTTATGGCTATCTTGGGACAATTAGAGCGCAATACATTTCGATCTATCATTATTGCGTGTGCATCAGTTTGATTCAACTCAGCAACCTAAAGGCTAATTGTATCACTTCGGACTTTTTTTGGCGTGTGGAAGAACAATTTTGATCAGAAAACAAATAAGTAACAAAAACTTTGAATTTTTTTTAAAAATTGTAAAGTTTTATATATCAAGGTGATTTATTGTTAAAGGGGGGGGGGGTGGGGTAGTCAGATAGCAAATTGATACGAGCAGTAATGTTGGTCAAAAGAAACCATAGGAGGAAGATCAAAAACAAGCGACTCCGAGAAAAGCTGAAAAAACAAATTACTCATATAATAAGTTTTTTTTTAGATTAAATTATGGGTCGTCTAATGAAATTCTTGGTTGAGCAGTTGATGCCGTAATGATTTTTTTGAAATGATTTCTATTAAGCAAAACAATTTCGATTTATTTTAAGTACCTCATATTAGTCAAATTTAAACATACAATCACATTTCAACTTTTGTAACGGTAACGGTAACTTTTGCCAAATTGTAACGGTAGAAACATACGTGAATTCACCACCAACTTATCTGTTTCAAACTTTTTGAAGTTCATGCACTCATTAAGTTTTTTTGTGTTAGAGCCAGTTTGCAGCAAATTAAAATCAAATTAGCTCGTGTTAAATTGAATTTCAGATAGCTTATAGTTTCTTTGTCACATTCCTTGCTGAAACAAAAAAAGATGAAGATTAAGAATAAAATGTAATTTTCAGCCACCCTACAAGCAAAATAAAGTATTAGATAATTTTATTCCGACTTTTAAAGTAATTGAGGGAAAGTTGATCCTCGGTGTGGTTTTTGTTTCACAAAAATTCCAAAAATTTCACCAAATATTTTCAACAAAGTTGTTTATAATATCTGACAGATAACGATGCACGGACCTTAAAATCTTAAGATGCATTTATCTCCGATTTTTTTTCCGTAGAACTAATAATTAGGATCAAAATTTGGATTAATTTGAAGTAACAATTGCGCAAGTTAAGCCGGTTATTAGCAAGCTAAGCCGGTTATTGTTCCTAGTTTCAAAGAAACTGGCGGAATAATTGCGCTCGGGTGGTTGTTTTTCTCTAGACAAACTTTGACGTTTTGATTAGACAATTTTGGCGGATTTTTTTTTGTTCATCCAAAAGGTATTGTTGTTCTGAGCTAAAATTTGAAAACATAATTCACCTGTGATCATTTTTTTCACAGTAATGGGGTTTTAAATTGCGTGTATTTAACCAAAATTTTGAAAACAAAAATACCGAAAAAAACTTTGTTCCGAATTTTGAAAGAAAGATGGTGTGGTTATTTTATATGAGACAAGTTGCGACTTTTTAACTAATCTTTTTGAATAGTTCATTTCGAGCTGCCCAAAAAATATTGATTTCATGAGCTCAACTTTAACATCATATTTCACCTTAATAATAATTTTTAACCTTATATTTCAACATTTCTTTTCCGATATTTTATTTCAGGTTAGTTTTTTAAGTTATGGCTATCTTGGGACAATTAGAGCGCAATACATTTCGATCTATCATTATCGCGTGTGCATCAGTTTGATTCAACTCAGCAAGCTAAATGCTAGTTACATCACTTCGGACTTTTTTTGGCGTGTGGAAGGACAATTTTTATCAGAAAACAAATAAGTAACAAAAATTTTGAATTTTATTTTATAATTGTCAAATTTTATATTTCAAGCTGATTTATTGTTAAAGGGGGGTGGGGGGTAGTCAGACAGAAAATTGATACGAGCAGTAATGTTGGTCAAAAGAAACCATAGGAGGAAGATCAAAAACAAGCGACTCCGAGAAAAGCTGAAAAAACAAATTACTTATATAATAAGTTTTTTTAGATTAAATTATGGGTCGTCTAATGAAATTCTTGGTTGAGCAGTTGATGCCATAATGATTTTTTTGAAATGATTTCTATTATGCAAAACAATTTTCGATTTATTTTAAGTACCTCATATTAGTCAAGTTTAAACATACAATCACATTTCAACTTTTCCCGTGCCAAATTGTAACGGTAGAAACATACGTGAATTCACCACCAACTTATCTGTTTCAAATTTCTTGAAGGTCTTGCACTCATTAAGTTTTTTGTGTTAGAGCCACTTTGCAGCAAATTAAAATCAAATTAGCTCGTGTTAAATTGAATTTCAGATAGCTTATAGTTTCTTTGTCACATTCTTTGCTGAAATGAAAAAAGATGAAGATTAAGAATGTAATTTTCCGCCACCCTACAAGCAAAATAAAGTATTAGATAATTTTATTCCGACTTTTAAAATAATTGAGGGAAAGTTGATCCTCGGTGTGGTTTTTGTTTCACAAAAATTCCAAAAATTTCACAAAATTTTTTCAACGAATTTGTTCATAATATCTGACAGATAACGATGCACGGACCTAAAAACGTTAACATGCGTTTATCTCCGATTTTTTTCCGTAGAACTAATAATTAGGATCAAAATTTGGATTAATTTGAAGTAACAATTGCGCAAGTTAAGCCGGTTATTAGCAAGCTAACCCGGTTATTGTTCCTAGTTTCAAAGAAACTGGCGGAATAATTGTGCTCGGGTGGTTGTTTTTCTCTAGACAAATTTTGAATTTTTGATTAGCCAATTTTGGCGGATTTTTTTGTTCATCCAAAAAGTATTGTTGTTCTGAGCTAAAATTTGGAAACATAATTCACCTGTGATCATTTTTCGCAAAGTAATGGGGGTTTAAAGATGGCCAGTATTGCTAGTTTGGGACAATCACCCTGCGATGAATTTCGTGCTTTTTACGCGTAAACGGAGATTGAATCCGTCTTGGAAAAAGTTGGCTGAAACAATCTATTATTAACAAATGTAGGTTACCAGGAGGGAAATTATCTATTTGCTTTTAAATGACGTATGGGAACGATTTAAGAAAATCTCAAAAAAAATTCTATTTTTTTTTCTTTTTTTTTGAAAATGCATCAAATTTTTTTGAGCAAACAGTTCTTCACATACTCTGAAAAGCACTGAGAACATTCAAGGCTTCATTCTTATACAAGCAGTGTTTTAAATATTTTGACTCGATCATATTGCACTTAACTTTGCGTAAGAGGCAGAGACTTCATCTATGAAAAAATTTACAACGTTCTTCCCGTTTTCATATTCTCCTCAAACTGTATCACAAAATACGTCAGATGTTTTCAAACGACAGTTTGAAGGATAAAAGCTTTAGTTTGATACAAAAAATTTTATTCGCATCTAGTGCGGAACACATAGGTTGCTTGAATTCGAATTTATTTGACCGCGGATTTAGTTATACCTCATAATTGTGAAAACGTCTCGCGGTTCTTGGGTTCAATTCGATCTTGGATTCGTTTTCCGCCTAAAGTGTTCAAGGAATTTGATCTTGTCACATCTTGACGCAATTTTGATTGGTTTAATGTTTTTCACCATTCGGTGCTTCATCCTCAGATAAGCCATTTTTTTTTACAGGCTTGTGCAATTTTGCAAATTTCGCATATAAATAATAATGATCAGTACTGCTCTATACAATTTTCCTCAAGGCGTACAGTTTAGCTTTTGCCTTAAATATCTAGCTGGTAAACTAATTCAAATTCAAGATCAAATTTGTGTTCATTCAAAGATTTTTGTATATTTTTTATATCCTTGGTGGGAGACTAATATATTAGACCCTAACCGCGCTCGATTTCCATGAAAATTTGTAGCAAAAACTCATTACATCATAATGGATTTTAATTACACTTCTGAACTTGAAACGGATTTCATTTCCATATTAATTCAGTTTTTTCAAAAAACTTAGATCGATGACAATCCATTCAAAACTCACTATAATGGATAATAATTGAGTGTAATTTGTTTAAAAAAATAATTTTCTGCATTACTCACGGCCTACTCATTTTCTAAACCGACTCCTTTCTCTATAATTTTTTAAAGCATATCCCTCGTGATTTAAGAGGGGTTACCTTTATCCTCGAATTTCAGCCTCAGAAATTCAACTTTTTATATGCTGTCTTTTCTTAAGATTAAAAGAATAAATCCCCAATTAAATTGTTTGATTTTCGATTATCGTACTATCCACTATTTAGAGTCTAAATTTTAGATTTAAATAGTACCGGAAAGTTGACATTTATCCAAAAAACCAAAAAAAAACGTTCATTTTTTCAATTGCTTGCATCTATATTTAACGCATTGACAATTTCATAAATAGTAATTTGATCAGTAGATGCAAAATGCAAATTTGTTCTGTAGGCTTATAAAAAAATTTTAAATTTTGAAGAACTTGGAGCCAAAATTTTTGTAGTTACTTGCACCAAATCATCATACATACGGTTTCAAACCATCGCTCCTTATCGACAAGTCTTCAAACATTTTTTTGAATTTATTCTGTTTTTTTGGTCCGCTTGAACTGACCTGACAAGTTTGCTGCAACAGACGACTACTGTGTGACTCTTTCGGGAGATATTCGCGAAAGCATACTGCGAGATCACAATTCCACAGCAGATTATTCTAGAACACATTAGAATATTCTAGAATATATCAGAAATATGCCTGTCAAAACAGGCTTCATATTTGGAAAAGATTGGAGTTTTTCGACAGTGCGGCGAATGCGCTTTCGGAAAAATACGGCCAGTGTTGTTACGCATAAGAATTGAAGCAGTTAAAATCAACAGGGGACTTGCATGCAAAGAACAGGTGTTACCCAATTGATATTTTTAATATTAAATATTTAGATCTTCTTATAATAAGGTTTTAATTTTTATTTACAAAAATAAAAAGCTTCACTAACGAGATGATTCCTGACATTTCGAAGCACTCGGCCGACAGATAGGAGAAATAGGCCCCTGAGAACACTATCAGAGGCTCCACCACTGAAACATGAAATATAATGAAATTTATTTATGGCTCTTTTTCAATTTCCCGCCTCCATCGTAGAATTAAAGTTTCAAGTTGTTTGAAAAAAATTCATACGTCAATTTGCACTACGGAATGTCTTAAAACTTGTCACTTGTTCTTGCTGACAAGTTTTATTGCACTTTAAAATTGGTTTTAATTAGACTTTCGTAAACCTTGAAAAACATTTTGAGAAAAATCAAAGGGGAAAACTGGAAAAGAGCGCTTTTGATGGTTCGTCCTTTATGATTCAACAACTGAGAAACCTTTTTATACGATGGAAATGGGGGGCGGGTGGGTGGGGACTTTTAGTTTGGGTTGAAATTTGTCCCCATTTTTTGGTCTTCTTTTTTCATGAAGGGTGCTGAATGACCCCAACTTTAAGGAACATGAGCCCATTTATGGCCCTGAATTTCTCAGAATAGAGCTGATTGAAACCAACTTTAAGGAACGTGGGCCCAATTATGGCACTGAATTTCTCAGAATAGAGCTGAATGAACCCAATTTTAACAAACATGAGCCCAATTATGGCCCTGAATTTCTCAGAATAGGGCTGATTCAAACCAACTTTAAGGAACGTTAGCCCAATTATGGCCCTGAATTTCTCAGAATAGAGCTGATTGAAACCAACTTTAAGGAACGTTAGCCCAATTATGGCCCCAAATTTCTCAGAATAGAGCTGATTGAAACCAACTTTTATGAACATGAGCCCAATTATGGCTCTGAATTTCTCAGAAGAGAGCTGAATGAACCCAATTTGAACAAACGTGAGCCCAATTATGGCCCTGAATTTCTCAGAATAGGGCTGATTGAAACCAACTTTAAGGAACGTTAGCCCAATTATGGCCCTGAATTTCTCAGAATAGAGCTGAATGAACCCAATTTTAACAAACGTGAGCCCAATTATGGCCCTGAATTTCTCAGAATAGAGCTGATTGAAACCAATTTTAAGGAACAAGAGCCAAATTATGGCTCTGAATTTCTCAGAATAGAGCTGAATGAACCCAATTTTAGCTTGAGCCCAATTATGGCCCTGAATTTCTCAGAATAGAGCTGATTGAAACCAACTTTAAGGAACGTTAGCCCAATTATGGCCCTGAATTTCTCAGAATAGAGGTGATTGAAACCAATTATAACGAACGTGAGCCCAATTATGGCCCTGAATTTCTCAGAATAGAGCTGATTGAAACCAATTTTAAGGAACAAGAGCCAAATTATGGCTCTGAATTTCTCAGAACAGAGCTAAATGAACACAATTTTAACGAACGTGAGCCCAATTATGGCCCTGAATTTCCCAGAATAGAGCTGATTGAAACCAACTTTTAGGAACATGAGCCCCATTATGGCTCTGAATTTCTCAGAATAGAGCTGAAGGAACCCAAATTTAACGAACGTGAGCCCAATTATGGCCCTGAATTTCTCAGAATAGAGCTGAATGAACCCAATTTTAACGAACGTGAGCCCAATTATGGCCCTGAATTTCTCAGAATAGAGCTGATTGAAACCAATTTTAAGGAACATGAGCCCAATTATGGCTCTGAATTTCTCAGAATAGAGCTGAATGAACCCAAATTTAACGAACGTGAGCCCAATTATGGCCCTGAGTTTCTCAGAATAGAGCTGATTGAAACCAATTTTAAGGAACAAGAGCCAAATTATGGCTCTGAATTTCTCAGAATAGAGCTGAATGAACCCAATTTTAACGTGAGTCCAATTATGGCCCTGAATTTCTCAGAATAGAGCTGATTGAAACCAATTATAACAAACGTGAGCCCAATTATGGCCCTGAATTTCTCAGAGTAGAGCTGATTGAAACCAACTTTATGGAACATGAGCCCAATTATGGCTCTGAATTTCTCAGAATAGAGCTGAATGAACCCAATTTTCTCAGAATAGAGCTAAATGAACCCAATTTTAATGAACGTGAGCCCAATTATGGGCCTGAATTTCTCAGAATAGAGCTGATTGAAACCAAATTTAACGAACGTGAGCCCAATTATGGCCCTGAATTTCTTAGAATAGAGCTGATTGAAACCAATTTTAAGGAACAAGAGCCAAATTATGGCTCTGAATTTCTCAGAACAGAGCTAAATGAACACAATTTTAACGAACGTGAGCCCAATTATGGCCCTGAATTTCCCAGAATAGAGCTGATTGAAACCAACTTTTAGGAACATGAGCCCAATTATGGCTCTGAATTTCTCAGAATAGAGCTGAAGGAACATAAATTTAACGAACGTGAGCCCAATTATGGCCCTGAATTTCTCAGAATATAGCTGAATGAACCCAATTATAACGAACGTGAGCCCAATTATGGCCCTGAATTTCTCAGAATAGAGCTGATTGAAACCAATTTTAAGGAACAAGAGCCAAATTATGGCTCTGAATTTCTCAGAACAGAGCTAAATGAACACAATTTTAACGAACGTGAGCCCAATTATGGCCCTGAATTTCCCAGAATAGAGCTGATTGAAACCAACTTTTAGGAACATGAGCCCAATTATGGCTCTGAATTTCTCAGAATAGAGCTGAAGGAACCCAAATTTAACGAACGTGAGCCCAATTATGGCCCTGAATTTCTCAGAATAGAGCTGAATGAACCCAATTTTAACGAACGTGAGCCCAATTATGGCCCTGAATTTCTCAGAATAGAGCTGATTGAAACCAATTTTAAGGAACATGAGCCAAATTATGGCTCTGAATTTCTCAGAATAGAGCTGAATGAACCCAAATTTAACGAACGTGAGCCCAATTATGGCCCTGAATTTCTCAGAATAGAGCTGATTGAAACCAATTTTAAGGAACAAGAGCCAAATTATGGCTCTGAATTTCTCAGAATAGAGCTTAATTAACCCATTTTTAACGTGAGTCCAATTATGGCCCTGAATTTCTCAGAATAGAGCTGATTGAAACCAATTATAACAAACGTGAGCCCAATTATGGCCCTGAATTTCTCAGAGTAGAGCTGATTGAAACCAACTTTAAGGAACATGAGCCCAATTATGGCTCTGAATTTCTCAGAATAGAGCTGAATGAACCCAATTTTCTCAGAATAGAGCTAAATGAACCCAATTTTAATGAACGTGAGCCCAATTATGGGCCTGAATTTCTCAGAATAGAGCTGATTGAAACCAAATTTAACGAACGTGAGCCCAATTATGGCCCTGAATTTCTCAGAATAGAGCTGATTGAAACCAATTTTAAGGAACAAGAGCCAAATTATGGCTCTGAATTTCTCAGAACAGAGCTAAATGAACACAATTTTAACGAACGTGAGCCCAATTATGGCCCTGAATTTCCCAGAATAGAGCTGATTGAAACCAACTTTTAGGAACATGAGCCCAATTATGGCTCTGAATTTCTCAGAATAGAGCTGAATGAACCCAAATTTAACGAACGTGAGCCCAATTATGGCCCTGAATTTCTCAGAATAGAGCTGATTGAAACCAATTTTAAGGAACAAGAGCCAAATTATGGCTCTGAATTTCTCAGAATAGAGCTGAATGAACCCAAATTTAACGAACGTGAGCCCAATTATGGCCCTGAATTTCTCAGAATAGAGCTGAATGAACCCAATTTTAACGAACGTGAGCCCAATTATGGCCCTGAATTTCTCAGAGTAGAGTTGATTGAAACCAATTTTAAGGAACATGAGCCCAATTATGGCTCTGAATTTCTCAGAATAGAGCTGAATGAACCCAAATTTAACGAACGTGAGCCCAATTATGGCCCTGAATTTCTCAGAATAGAGCTGATTGAAACCAATTTTAAGGAACAAGAGCCAAATTATGGCTCTGAATTTCTCAGAATAGAGCTGAATGAACCCAATTTTAACGTGAGCCCAATTATGGCCCTGAATTTCTCAGAATAGAGGTGATTGAAACCAACTTTAAGGAACGTGAGCCCAATTATGGCCCTGAATTTCCCAGAATAGAGCTGATTGAAACCAACTTTTAGGAACATGAGCCCAATTATGGCTCTGAATTTCTCAGAATAGAGCTGAATGAACACAATTTTAACGAACGTGAGCCCAATTATGGCCCTGATATTCCCAGAATAGAGCTGATTGAAAGCAACTTTTTGGAATATGAGCCCAATTATGGCTCTGAATTTCTCAGAATAGAGCTGAATGAACCCAAATTTAACGAACGTGAGCCCAATTATGGCCCTGAATTTCTCAGAATAGAGCTGAATGAATCCAATTTTAACGAACGTGAGCCCAATTATGGCCCTGTATTTCTCAGAATAGAGCTGATTGAAACCAATTTTAAGGAACATGAGCCCAATTATGGCTCTGAATTTCTCAGAATAGAGCTGAATGAACCCAAATTTAACGAACGTGAGCCCAATTATGGCCCTGAATTTCTCAGAATAGAGCTGATTGAAACCAATTTTAAGGAACAAGAGCCAAATTATGGCTCTGAATTTCTCAGAATAGAGCTGAATGAACCCAATTTTAACGTGAGCCCAATTATGGCCCTGAATTTCTCAGAATAGAGGTGATTGAAACCAACTTTAAGGAACGTTAGCCCAATTATGGCCCTGAATTTCTCAGAATAGAGCTGATTGAAACCAATTATAACAAACGTGAGCCCAATTATGGCCCTGAAATTCTCAGAGTAGAGCTGATTGAAACCAACTTTAAGGAACATGAGCCCAATTATGGCTCTGAATTTCTCAGAATAGAGCTGAATGAACTCAATTTTCTCAGAATAGAGCTAAATGAACCCAATTTTAATGAACGTGAGCCCAATTATGGGCCTGAATTTCTCAGAATAGAGCTGATTGAAACCAACTTTTAGGAACATGAGCCCAATTATGGCTCTGAATTACTCAGAACAGAGCTGATTGAAACAAACTTTAAGGAACGTTAGCCCAATTATGGCCCTGAGTTTCTCAGAATAGAGCTGATTGAAACCAACTTTAAGGAACGTTAGCCCAATTATGGCACTGAATTTCTCAGAATAGAGCTGAATGA